GAGTGGGGTATTTTATGCTTCAATGTGGCATGGTATCTCAGTGGGCTAGCACTATAAAACCAGCTTCAGTCTGGGCTAGTTCAAGCAGCCGCACATACACATACACACGCATGCACGTCGTCATATGAGCGAAATATTCTCAAGCAGGACATTAAACCCAATTTCACCTCACCTCACTTGCACTACCAGTTTGTTTCGCAGGTAACACATGTGTTCCAGTAAGAAAGGGTTTGACAGACGAGGTAGTCGTTGCACTGATATTGTCAATACTCAACAACCTTGCTGGCATGTACAGACTTCAAGACGCTGCCGGGGCTTGGGGTTGGTACTCTCCTGGCAATGCCCGATCTGTTGAGAGCTATATGCACCTTCGTCAACTCAGGGGTTACCTCAGTTGAAGTTGACCGAGATTTATGTCTAACCTTCTCCTCGTCATACACACTTCTCTTGCATAGTATAATAAGAATGGAGTTCATTGTTCGGTGTAATTCGGATTCGGCACCCTCTCAGCAACATTGTCCTGTCTAAACCAACTCGACACCAGCCACAACCGTATACGAGTATTAGCCATATTTCAGGATGGAAAGATGTGAAAAGACTGTTCTTGTGCTGTATGCAAATTTAAATTACTCTCATTAGTTGCTAATCATTGCGTAAATTGGGCAATGCTGGGTGAGATATCAATAACTTTAACACAGTCATACAGTTTCCCAGTTTTGTTTCATCCACTGCTATTATGTACCAATGACGTTTATTTGCATTTTTTCATATTTGCGTCTACAAGTCTTACTGCTTAATGCTGCCTTTATTTCATTGGTTCAAAATATGGAGCGGTTGAACTTTGTTCAAGGTCGAGTTCTTCAGCACATGACCTTGGAACGCGATACGTTGAATGTCACATTGATGGTTCTGCAAACACAGCACACGACCTGTGTAACAATGCATCCAAACAGATTCTTGTAGGGGTAAGTCACTGTCGATGTATGTTGAAATGACTATCGCCCTGTGACACGCATCTCTGGGGCCCTACACAACCACTAGCACCATACAGGTTGGCAATTGTTCAGCCTCAAACAATTACACAAAAATTCAAACACGTTCTTCCAAGGCCAAATTGTGAGTGGATAGAGCGATATTTTTCTACAAGTATGCAAGCAACTCTAGTAGGTTTACTGATGTCAGCTCTTTTTGGCGAACATATATGAAGCATTGTTTAACCAACGTCTATTACTTCAGCAAACGGTCTTGGAACAGAATTACATAAAACGTATATTTTTTTAACAAAACTGGAAACACAGTACACGTCAGGCATAACCGTACATCTAGGATGTTAGAAAAAAGGAAGTACTTTTTTAGCAGTTAGTCATTGTGGTATGTGTTGTGACGTCTCTCTAAGCCTGTGACGTATATCTCAGTGCTTCTCGGTGCTTTAAGTACACAAGCATATGTGTCATAAACAGGAACTGTTCATCCTTGATGCATGTAAAGGACTATCCTTATTTGCGTATAAACTAAATTCTTGCTGTTTGAAAACATCTCTGTTATGACAAATGTTACACAGTGCTATTCCACATAATGTAGTTCCTGTTTAATCATCAGAACAAATATGTTTGGGGGATCGACTGCATTATTGTAACGGTTAACGACCCCACGTGATCGTTCGGAACGCAGGCTTTCTGCTTGAACATACAGACCTTGAAACATATACCTGCTCGCACTCTATCAGCTTTACTAGACCAATCTAACATAATGCTGTAAACAGATAGCATGACTGATATATCACCATTTACGCTTTATATTCATCACTCGCAGGTTAAAAATATGAAGCATCGTTCAAAGTATTTTGGTGTGACGGCGCCTGGGTTCGAACCACCGGCCTTCCGCTCTCCGGGCAGAACACGCAAGTGGTCGTGTAGCGAGAGTGGCTACGATAATGAAATACTACTGCCCCATACTTGAGGCTGCCGTGATGGAACGAGTCTGATAGCCCCTACCCCGCGGACAAGATTTCCGGGTTAGGAGAGCTAATGGTAATACAGTGACGTCATGAGGTGATGCCCACCACATGGCATCCAAAGCGCTGTTGATGTTGCAGAAGAAATAAACAATGACAATAAACCTGTTGAGCGCCCTAATGAGAATACTTTGAGTGTTATTTCTACACTTGAATAAGTGTTCAACGTAGCATTGTTCGCCATAGCAAGTAGAATGTTGACGACAAGAGATACCGTATACTGTTAGTGTGAAGTTGATATATTTTATGGAAAATAGTAATTAAATTCACCTTCTTCTATAAGACATATATTCCTTCAAAGAGTGGCATAATGCCATAGGTTATACGTTGATAATTCAATCGTTGTTTTACATCAATCTCACCAAGGACGCTTCATAATAGGGTCACCTTACCATTCCACTCGTTTACAAAAGCAGTGCCGATATAGGCTGTATTCTCAAGCGTCCTTTCCCCAGGCAAAACAAATACATATCATATATTGCATATTACTTGCTGTTTGGATGACATTCTAGAAGTGGTTCAGTAAATAAACCTTTCTGGCTTCATTACCAGTGCTATTTGTTGTTTTATCTCTACATTCTCTGCATCTGACTTCATACAATTATCGGCGTGCTACTTGTTGTTATTGTTATTGCTTCTGTTATCGCCTTGTTATCTCAACATATCAGGTATATATACACCTTTCATTACTTGGTTGTCGTCACTCCAGCTTGGTAACGGTGATGGAATCTTCCCTGAAACGTCGCGAAATGCAACAAATAAGATGTTGACATCCACAAGCTTATGTGTTCTTAAACGTGTGTTTATCTCGAGAGTACAGTCCCCTTGATGTCACGGTTACCCGTGGAGGTAGAAAACGTCAGCAAATTCTCAAAGAACGAGTGTGGGAACTTGACAACATTATCCTCTGCATTTTGTTTGTTTGATGTTTAACACCACACTCAGCAACTATATGGCGGCGAACTGTAAATGATCGAGTCTGGACCAGACAATCCAGTGATCAATATAATGAGCATCGATCTACACAATTGCGATACGATGACATTTGTCAAGCAGGTCAGCGACCCTGACCACCCGATCCCGTTAGTCGCCACTTACGACAAGCATGGGTTTACACTCTACAGAACGAACGACCTTTTCGTTCATCCACCTTCTCAAGGATACCGGGGTTGAATAAATAGGGCATAACGAACAATAGTCGAAGAATTACAGACTACCTTACACAGAAATGTGGAATATTTAATTTCCAAGCAGATGGTGGAAACTCAAAAGCTAATACGTAGGCGGTTTAAAAAATAGACAGCGCTAAGTGTTGTCAGAAATTGTTCTACAGTAAAAAAGCAAGATATTCCCCGCAGAATTCAAAAGTGTATTTGAGACGGTGATATACGCCGTACTGCTCACACAAACTGATAACAATTTTTTTCGCGAGTTTGTCCTGTAATTACGACTATTGTAGATCTGTGTTAAAGTACGAGAGGGCCTTAAGTTGTTATGGCTCTCGCTCTCGTCGCTGAAGATTCCGGTTCGATTCGTGAAACCCCATTTTCGGAGTCCCTGGTATGACATCTTTGCAACCACGAAACCAATATTGTCGGACTTGCAGTAGTACTAAAACTAAACCCGTGAAGATCCGGGTTAGAACTGATCTTCAGTAACTCCATGCTTGTCGCAAGAGGCGACTATCGGGATCGGGTGGTCAGGCTCTCTGACTTAGTGGACACATGTCATCGTATCCCAATTGCGTTGATCACTGCATTGTCTGGTCCAGACTTGATTATTGACAGACCGGCGCCATATAGCTGGAAGTTTGCTGAGTGCGGCATACAACTAAACTCACTCACTCACTCTCTAAAACACAGGTGAGACCCACTGCAAAATCTATCAAAATTGATAAAACATCCCAAGCATGTATAATGTTTCAGAGGGTGTATAAATACAAGGAAGGGTGTCTGTATAGTAGCTGATATGCAACAGACACCACTGTGTCGGTCGGCGGTGCTGGCTGGGAGCCAGGGTCAGTCAACGTTACCATACAGATGTAATTGTCCCGATACACATCTAGGCATGTGCAACACGTGGCATGATAGACTCAACATTTAATATGCCAGGGAATTTCACAGTTAAACGACACTCACCGCAATAATAAACACGGGAGGCATCAAGCCTTATCCCTATGTTCTACAAGGTGGCGCCGCCATATAGCTGCAATATAGCTGAGTGCGGCCCTAAACAACAAAAGAATCAACAAGATGAATTTGGTGGAACTGCTTGGCGTTAAGTCTTATACCTGTGTTCGTCCACGGGATTACAGGGGCAGTGCCACCAAGCGAGCACGTCGAACCTGCCAGTGTGGTGCGGACAAACCTAGAAAACCGGATGTGGATTCAAACCGTCCATAGGTAGCATTCATGTCTAAGGGACATAACTCTTCACGACGCCTGGCATCGTAAGCGGCTGTACCAATCGTGGCTTTCGAACCTGAGACACAGTGCATTGCATCTAACTTCAGATGTCATACAGATATTCTCGCAGAGCTGAGGGGTTTAGAGAGTTCGCGTGGGTGGTGTTTTAGTAGAGACTGAATTTGGGATATGTGTCGGTTATTTATCTATGAGGTGATTGAGCTGGGTTGTTTGGGCTAGGTTGGAATTGTATCCAAGTAGAGTGGTGTCCCATGTAGAAACGGGTGGATACGGTTAAGGTGTGGAGGGTGGGCTGCTGCTGGTTGGACTGGTGTTAGATTGTGTGTCTCGTTGGATTGGGTGAATTTGTGTCAATGGGCTGCTGTCGGGTGTTGGCTTGGGTGCATTTGTGTCAATGGGCTGCTGTTAGGTGATGGATTGAGTGAAGTTGGTGTCAAGTTGTGTCAATGGGTTGGTGTCTGGTGGGGTGGTGTTGGAGTGGGTGAAGTTGTGTCAATGGGCTGGTGTCAGGTGTCGGATTGGGTATAGTTGTGTCGGGTGGGCTGGTGTCAGGTGATGGAATGGGTGAAGTTGTGTCGGATGGGCTGGTGTCGGGTGATGGAGTGGGTGAAGTTGTATCGGATGGGCTGGTGTCGGGTGATGGAATGGGTGAAGCTGTGTCGGATGGGCTGGTGTCGGGTGATGGAGTGGGTGAAGTTGTGTCGGGTGGGCTGGTGTCGGGTGACGGAATGGGTGAAGCTGTGTCGGATGGGCTGGTGTCGGGTGATGGAATGGGTGAAGTTGTGTCGGATGGGCTGGTGTCGGGTGATGGAGTGGGTGAAGAAGTTGTGTCGGATGGGCTGGTGTCGGGTGATGGAGTGGGTGAAGTTGTGTCGGATGGGCTGGTGTCGGGTGATGGAGTGGGTGAAGTTGTGTCAATGGGCTGGTGTCGGGTGATGGAATGGGTGAAGTTGTGTCGGATGGGCTGGTGTCAGGTGATGGAGTGGGTGAAGTTGTGTCAATGGGCTGGTGTCATGTGATGGAGTGGGTGAAGTTGTGTCGGATGGGCTGGTGTCGGGTGATGGAGTGGGTGAAGTTGTGTCAATGGGCTGGTGTCGGGTGATGGAGTGGGTGAAGTTGTGTCGGATGGGCTGGTGTCGGGTGATGGAGTGGGTGAAGTTGTGTCGGATGGGCTGGTGTCAGGTGATGGAGTGAGTGAAGTTGTGTCGGATGGGCTGGTGTCGGGTGATGGAGTGGGTGAAGTTGTGTCAATGGGCTGGTGTCAGGTGATGGAGTGAGTGAAGTTGTGTCGGATGGGCTGGTGTCGGGTGATGGAGTGGGTGAAGTTGTGTCGGATGGGCTGATGTCGGGTGATGGAGTGGGTGAAGTTGTGTCGGATGGGCTGGTGTCAGGTGATGGAGTGGGTGAAGTTGTGTCGGATGGGCTGGTGTCGGGTGATGGAGTGGGTGAAGTTGTGTCAATGGGCTGATGTCGGGTGATGGAGTGGGTGAAGTTGTGTCGGATGGGCTGGTGCCGGGTGATGGAGTGAGTGAAGTTGTGTCGGACGGGCTGGTGTCGGGTGATGGAGTGGGTGAAGTTGTGTCGGATGGGCTGGTGTCGGGTGATGGAGTGGGTGAAGTTGTGTCGGATGGGCTGGTGTCGGGTGATGGAGTGGGTGAAGTTGTGTCGGATGGGCTGGTGTCGGGTGATGGAGTGGGTGAAGTTGTGTCGGGTGGGCTGGTGTCGGGTGATGGAGTGGGTGAAGTTGTGTCGGGTGGGCTGGTGTCGGGTGTTGGAATGGTTGAAGTTGTTTCGGATAAGCTGGTGTCAGGCGATCGAGTGGGTGAAGTTGTGTCGGATTGGCTGGTGTCGGGTGTGGAGTGGGTGAAGCTGTGTCTGGAGTGGGTGAAGTTGTGTCAATGGGCTGATGTCGGGTGTTGGAGTGGGTGAATTTGTGTCGGATGGGCTGGTGTCGGGTGATGGAGTGGGTGAAGTTGTGTCGGATGGGCTGGTGTCGGGGAGTTGGAGTGGGTGGGCTGGTGTCGGGTGTTGGAGTGAGTGAAGTTGAGTCTAGTAAACTGATGGACAATGTCGTATGGCGTGAGTAGAGAGGACCAATCTTGGATGTGGTTAGGTTGAGACGGGTAGAGTTGTGTTTGGTGTCCATTGAGTAGTTGTGCTGATATTATACAAAGGCTCAATGCTGCCCTGACTTCCTACTTGTTCCCAGTTTATCCTACACAAATACATGGTGATCTAATCAAATGGTCTGTTTGCTTTATCAGCGGCGAGCACCTTCAAGACATAACGTAGCGCTCTCCACATGCATCTGGAAAGTTTACGTTCTAATTTGCCTATTAAAAAATAAGAAAGGAAACGCACATGCTATGCTCCTATATTCCCTAGGTATATTCATTTTTATTCTGCAGGATTCCTTCAGTCGTAGACACACGTATTGGGTGGTCTTATTCACGGGACGCATCTCGACACATGATGGTAAATCTCGACTGCCTATAAACATGAGACACATGTAAAGAAATAGGTATGTTTCATCATGTAATCAAATCTTGTGCACTGGGCTTTTTCCTAATACTAGTTTAAATTTAGTGAGATTAATGTTTACAGATTTTTTAATAGTGTTTTTATTTTTTTTACGGGTTTGTTTTGTATTTTGTTATTTTTTGTACTTGCTTTGGGGTTGTTTTTTGTCTCAACACCTGTTCAAAATAAGTTTGATTAATGTTTACAGACTGATTTCTTATAGTGTTTTCCCCCGGAAGTTGGTATCCATGCATTCTGGAGTATCATCCCTCCGGACAATATTGTCGGACACCTACCCATGATTCCGTGATTTCGTCAGGGCGCTTGCATTAGGAGGATGTCGTGAATATAATAATAACGTAACTTCATTGTTGATAATGGTTAGTTGATTAGTTTATTGTTTAACGCAGCACTCCAGCTATATGGCGGCGGTCTGTAAACAACTTAGTCTGTCCAGTGATCAACAGCATGAGCATCGATTTACGAAATTGGGAATCGATGACATGTGTCAACCAAGTCAGTGAACCCGACCACCCGATCCCGTTAGTCGCCTCTTACGACAAGCATGGGTTGCTGAAAAACAATTTTTACCTAGCTCTTCACGGGTTGACAATGAGGTGCATTAGCAGATTTACTGATGTGTGTCCTCCGCCTCTTTAAGCAGCATTCAAGCAACTTCCGGCGATATTGACAGGGATCAATATTGACAGGAATCGAACCTGGAACGTTAAGATCTAGCCTAATGAGAGAGATGGGAAACACACACAGATGAAAGATCTGGATGTCAACGTCTTCCTACAGGCAATCGAGGTCATAGATGTCCACAGATCACCAGTCTTCGAACGAGTGACTACCTTTGACAACACCGTACATGTGTTCGTGAGTTTACGCGGTAGACGTCTCTCGTGGCTTCATCCAAAATCCAGCTGACAAGAAAAATGAAAAGAAATTATCTGAAAAACTCGCAATTTTGACAATGGAGTTAGATGAATCGACAAATACTGAGGAAAAAAGAAGAATTACTGCATTATATAAATGAAATAAACTCCGAATTAGAAGAAATTAGCGAAATTAAAGCAAAAGGTAGTTTTATAAGGGCAAAGTCTAAATGGATAGAAAAAGGTGAAAAACCAACAATTTTTTTCTTAAAGTTGGAATCGAGGAATTTTTTTAAATAAATCTATTGCTGAACTTGAAACAAAATCCGGAGAAATAATCTCTAATATTTCAGACTTTTTAAATGAGACTAAAACGTTTTATCAAAATCTCTACTGTGAAAAGGAAACTTCTCAAATAGATCTCGAAGATTTATTTCCGAATAGCCACAAGGTTAGTGATGAAGTGGCCGAAACACTAGAAGGCGAATTAACATACGGTGAAGTTCTTAATGCTTTGAAGCGTATGAAAAATGAAAAAAGCCCGGGCCCTGATGGTTTCACTGCAGAATTCTTCAAATTCTTTTGGCGGGATTTAAATGTGTATCTTATAAAATCGCTAAATTATGCTTACAGAAACGGAGCTCTATCAGATACACAAGTTCAGGGTATCATCACTTGTATTCCGAAAGAAGGCAAACCTAAAAAGTTTCTAAAGAACTGGGGACCCATTTCATTACTCAATATTGTGTACAAACTTGCCTCTGCAGCTATAGCAGAGAGAATAAAACCAACTTTAACCACATTTATCAGTAAGGAACAAAAAGACTTCATAAAGGGTAGATATATGGGAGAGGTTACAAGACAAGTGTATGACGTTATGGAATATGTGGATACCTATCAGATTCCAGGCTTGTTAATGCTTATTGATTTCGAAAAGGCTTTCGATTCTTTAGACTGGCGATTTATTCAAAACGTTTGCGCTTTTTTTAATTTCGGCCCTTCCATTCGAAAATGGATAAAACTGCTCTATAAAAATTCTGAATCTTGTGTATTAGTAAATGGTTTTGCTAGTCCCTTTTTCAAACTAAGTCGAGGTTGTCGCCAAGGAGACCCAATCTCTCCATATATTTTCATAGTATGCACTGAAATATTAACCAGATTACTTAAAAGCAATAAATCTATCAGAGGATTAAAGATTGGATCTATTGAACAATTATTAGCGCAGTTCGCAGATGATACTTCCTTAATGTTAGATGGTACTGAAAGGTGCTTGCAAGCAGTCGTGAATACATTAACCTTTTTTGCACGTTTTTCTGGTTTAAAAATTAACATTGATAAAACAAAGTTGATTTGGATCGGTTCCAAAAAACGTAGCCGAATGAAACTAATGAAGAACTGTAAAATGGACTGGACTGAAACATTTAAGTTACTGGGTATCAAATTTGATATTGATCTTGAGAATATGGTAGATGCTAATTACAACGAAAAATTTAAAGAAGTTGAAAATTTAATGAAAATGTGGAAATGTAGAACGTTAACGCCGTTTGGACGTAACACAGTGCTAAAATCCTTATTGTTACCAAAACTTAATCTCTTATTTTCTACCGTTCCTACACCACCAGAAACTGTAATACAAAATTTCCAAGCAAATTGCTTTCGATTTATTTGGAACGAAAAACCCGATAAGATTAAAAGGAACAGGGTAATATTCCGGACGGGGGGTTCAATACTCCATTTGTAAGGGATGTAATTGCTTCTCAAAAGATTTCATGTCTTAGACGATTTACCCTCTCGAACACAATACATCAATTATTTCTTTACGAATCAAATACTATTCCAAGTAATATTCTAGAAATGGATGCAATCTATATAAGAGATAATATCATTAACAACATAAGAAACCCCTTCTGGCGAGATGTTTTATCATCCTGGGCTCTATTCCTAAATAAGCATAAGAAAACACGAAAGGATGCGTACTCACAGTATATATGGTATAATGATAATGTTAAGATTGATAAAAAATGCATATTTATTAAACAATGGGAGGAAGCCGGAGTAAAATATATCAATGATTTGATAGATCAGGATGGTCAAACTCTTTCATACCTAGATTTCAAAAATAAGTACAATATTTCCTCCAATTATTTAACATTTCACGGGGTAAAAAAGGCTTTGAATAAATATTTGAACGAGCTTGATTATGACGATAATACACCATTAACAGCACCATTACTACCATTTAACATTCGTTTGCTCCTGAATACCAAAAAGGGCTCAAAATATTACTATAATGTGTTATTAGGATCCAAGTTCCAGAAAACTTCAGCCAATCAACAATGGGAGAAAGAAATAGTAAAACAATATACAGATAAGGAATGGAAGAATATTAATGAAATTCCATTTCGATCAACTGATAGTGTTCAATTACGGTGGTTTCAATATAAAATTATTAACCGAATTCTTCCAGTTGGAAAATATTTGTTTAAGATTGGATACCAAAACTCTCCTATCTGTACAACTTGTCACAAGTTCATAGCAGATATTTGCCATGTTTTATGGAATTGTGAAATTGTCAACTCAATCTGGATTGAAGTCCAAAACTGGGTAAACAGTAAGGCGGAAATCAATATACAGTTTACTAAAGAAACAATTTTGTTGGGCTTTCCTTTAAAAAGAAATGACCCTTTAAACGTAATCTGTCTCGTAATAAAAAACACAATTTTCAAAGTTTATGTTAAACGAGGAAAACTTTCCTTTGCTTCGATCCAGAAGGAGTTAACAAATTACTATAACATAACAAAAGCCATAGCTTACTCTAACTGTGAATACAACAAATTTGTTAAATTTTGATCTAGTTGCCATAAGTTGTTTGTTTGACCAATATATTCAACTACTCTTTTCGATGAAACTTCGTTCTATCGATGCACAATATTGATCCAGTTGCCATAACTTGGTTGTTTGAAACACTTTATTCAATTACCTTTTTCGATGAAACTTTGTTTATGGTTGTATGACATTAGTCCATCTGCTATAAGTGGTATGTTTTGAACAACTTTATTCAATTACTACTATCAATGAAACTTGTTTATTGATGTATGGTCCAGTTGCCATAAAGCAGTTTGTTTCTTAACCACTCTATTCAATTACCCTTTTCGATGAAACATGGTTTCTCGATGTATGGTCCAGTTGCCATACGTAGTATGTTCCTTAACTACTCCATTTAATTACCCTTTTCAATGAATCTTTGTGCATCGATGTATGACATTGGTTATACCACTCTATTCAATTACCCTTTTCAACGAAACTTTGTTATCGATGTATGACATTGGTCCAGCCGCCATAAGTGGTATGTTTGAACCACTCTATTTAATTACTCCTTTTGCTGAAACTTTGTTTCTCGATGTATAGCATTGGTCCAGTTACCATAAGCAGGTTGTTTGAACCATTTTATCCAATTACTCTTTTGATGAAACTGTTTCTCGATAGATGAAAATGCTCGTGCTGCCATAAACAGTTTGTTTTCAATGAAGC